GCTTTTTTCTCCACCTCACACATGTCCTCATGGACCAGGAGGATGAGGAAGAAAGGTGGGAGGAGGGAGAAAAAATGAGGGGAGAGAAGGAGGAGGACCAGGAGGAAAGGTGGGAGGAGGGGGGAAAGTGGTGGAGAGAAGAAGGAGGACCTCCTAGTCCTCCTCCTTCTCTCCCCGGCTCCTTCCCACCTTGCACCTTCCTCCTCCTCCTCCTCCTCCTCATACCTGGCGTATAAGACGACCCCCAACTTTAACCCCAGATTTTCCTGGTTTAAAAGTAATCTTATACTCCAGAAAATATGGTATATAAAGGATTACCTGTAAATTCTTGTCCTACCTTTTCCTGAAATCCTTCAGATTTCAAAATCTACAAAGTTCCTACATGCATCTGAGGAAGTAGGCTCATGCTACCAGCATCTTTCTTGCAGTTAGCTTCAAAGGAGCTACAAGATCCCTTTGTATATAAAGCCCCTAAGCAATGTACTCCAGATTGCACTGACCTTACGCTTAGGATATTATTCCTGGTATTGAAAGCCAGCGTGATGTAATGGTTTGAGTGCTGCACTAGGCTGGGCTCTGGAAACCAGGGTTCAATTCCCAGCTTGGCCATAAAACCCACTGGGTGACTGTGGCCAAGTCACACTCTCTCAGCTTCAGAAGGCAATGGTAAACATCCTCTGAAGAAATCTTGCCAAGAAAATCCCATGATATGTTCACCATAGGGTCGCCATGAATTGGAAACAACCTGAAGGCACACAACCCACACTGAAACTAAACGCATCTTCTTATAGCTAATCTTATTGCTTCTTGTCTTCCTCTCAGTGAATCATCCATTGTCATATTTACAGCTCATCTTTCTAATCTACTACTAGGACTCCACAGAATTTCTCTCCAAAAAAGAAACTAAGAGTACAGCTACACTGCAGATTGCTGTTGTTGCTATTCTGTGCCTTCAAGTTGTTTCCAACTTATCTTACCATTAAGGTGACCCGGCCTAAGGCGAATCTATCATGGAGTTTTCTTGGAAGATTTCTTCAAAAGGGGGGGGGGGGTTGCCATTGCCATCCTCTGAGGATGGGACAGTGTGACTTGTCCAAGGTCACCCAGTGGGGTTATATGGCCAAACCAGGATTTGAACTCTGGTCTCCCAAAAACATGGGCCAAACATTCAAACCACTACACCTCAATGACTCTTACAACACAAGTTTAAAGTGCTTTAGTTGCTTTCTATGGAGTCCTGTGATTTGTAGTTTTACAAGCCTTTTGGCCTTCTCTGCCAAAGAACACTGGTGACTCATGAAAATACAAATCCTGGGAACCTATAGAATGGAGGGATGGTTGTTAAAGTGGCATCAAACTGCATTACTTCTACAGTGTAGATACACCCTATGTGAGGAATGGTTAAGTTTTCTGAAGAGCAAATCCAAAGACTTCTCCTCCCCACATACCCTTCATTTAAGGCTGCTTCTTCAATGCAAAAATGAATCCAGATTCACACCACTTTAACTGTCATGGCTCAATGCTATGGAAATTTGGGATCTGTAGTTTGTTGTGGCACCAGAGCTCTCTTACAGAGAAGGCTAAAAAGAATTCCATAGCATTGAGCCTAGGCAGTTAAAGCACTGTCAAACTGGATCTTATTTCTGCAGTGTGGATGCAGCCTGGGACTCCGCAGAATTTCCCTCCAACAAAGAAACA